GGGGTGGCACTGTGTCAACAGCCAGCAGGCACCAGCGTGTGCCAACCACCACCACAGTGCCCACAGGTGCCCGCGCTCCCCCTCTCCCGCCACACCGGATGCAACTCTCTGATCAATACGCATAAACTCCCAAATTACCCCGGGCTCAGGGATCAAAGACAGCCACACGGAAGTTGTCGCTCCTGGCCGCTACCGCCATCTCAAGGCCCATGGGGAACCCATTGTGCTCACTCGCCTCAATCTCCGTCAACACACAACGAGCGTAAAGGTGGCGACGGACGCAGACGCAGAGAAGCGCACACTACCTGAGTGAACTGCAGGCGAGGGAGCAGCAGGCGAGGGAGCAGCAACAGCAGCAGAGCAGCAGGGAAGCAGAAAGGTGAGGCAGTGACGCCAGCGGAAGCAGACGATATCAGGAAGCACAGTTAACTGTAGACCATGATCCCCACGCACACAACTGGCCCACCTCCACTACCGACTCTCATCCCCCACACCTGACCCACCCCCCACACACCTGCCCACCCCTACACCTGCCCACTCCCCACACACCTGCCCACCTCCACAAACACATCTCCATACATCAAGACCAGAATCACCTTCTTCCCGCAGTTTGTAGACCTCCCACACATACCTGGCCTTCTGTACACCTCCCACACACACACACACACACACCTGCCCTGCCCCAGGTGTGTGTGGCTTGAATCCACCTCACATGACACAATGTCTCCTTTTTATTGGTTTCCAGAACATTTAGTAAAGGAGAAGGATTACAGAGCCAAGAGGAGAGTACTGGAAGGTCCGTAGAGCCAAGAGGAGAGTACTGGAAGGTCCGTGGAGCCAAGAGGAGAGTACTGGAAGGTCCGTAGAGCCAAGAGGAGAGTACTGGAAGGTCCGTAGAGCCAAGAGGAGAGTACTGGAAGGTCCGTAGAGCCAAGAGGAGAGTACTGGAAGGCCCTGAGAGCGGAAACGCCTATACTGGGAGGAACACAGATGCCAGAGGAGGTACTGGAAGAGCCATAGCGGCCAGAGAAGGTACTGGAAGAGCCATAGTGGCCAGAGGAGGTACTGGAAGAGCCATAGTGGCCAGAGGAGGTACTAGAAGAGCCATAGCGGCCAGAGGAGGTACTGGAATAGCCATAGCGGCCAGAGGAGGTACTGGAAGAGCCATAGTGGCCAGAGGAGGTACTGGAAGAGTCATAGCGGCCAGAGGAGGTACTGGAAGAGCCATAGTGGCCAGAGGAGGTACTGGAAGAGCCATAGTGGCCAGAGGAGGGTACTGGAAGAGCCATAGCGGCCAGAGGACGTACTGGAAGGACCATTAAGGCCAGATGGATGTACTGGAAGAACTGTAGAGGCCAGAAGTTCTGGAAGACTCGCAGAGGGAAGACTGGAAGACTGGAAGACAGAGGGGAGGCTCCTCCTACCCTTCAGAAGGGGGCCAAGCGGCCCCTGGACGAGGTACAACGATACAAGGGTTCCAGAATATAAGGAGGTGTAGGGGAGCAAGAGAAAGTGACGGAGGAGGAGAGAGGGGTATGGGCGAGGGGAAAATAATTATATAAAAGGGGGGAAAGGATGACAAATGGGCAAGGCTGGGGGGAGAGAGGGGAGAGAGAGGGGAGGCGTGACATGCCAGAGGGGAAGGAAGTAGGGGGAAGGTGTACACCTCTCAGGAGAGACATTGAGACGTACCCAAGGAATATTCTCCGCCTGTGGTGCTGGAAAAATAATTACAACTATTATTAAATTATGATTTTTTTTTGCATTCAATTATTATTTTGATTCATAATAGATATATTATTTCATCGTTGTTGGTGTTTAGGAATAAGGTCGGTGGTGGAGCAGTGAGCAGCCACAGTAAACATAACATCTCGGGACCCCAAGAGCCGGAGCTCAACCCTCCCGCAAGTACAAGTAGGCGAGCACAACCACCGCAGAAATATGTACATAGTCTCCCGGATGTACACTGATGCCAGTCGCCATTTGTCATGTACAAGTCTGTATTACAATCTTTACTACACTGGATTTTGTAACCGACAGGTGTCACTAAGCGGACTATTTCTTACTGGTAGTTTTCTAGCAGTGTTCTCTAAATTGTGCGGTGTTTACACAACGACCGGGCCGCGGGGACGTTGAGCCCCGAAATCAACGTAAGGTAACATTTTTATTACATAATTCGTCACCACCTGTTCAATTCTTCCTGCGTCACACACACACACACACACACACGTTGTGTGTGTGTGTGTGAATGCACTATGATGCACTATGGAATGCATTAGGCAGTGATGTGGTGGAGGCTGACTCCATACACAGTTTCAAATGTAGATATGATAGAGCCCAGTAGGCTCAGGAACCTGTACACCAGTTGATTGACAGTTGAGAGGCGGGACCAAAGAACCAGAGCTCAACCCCCCGCAAACACAACTAGGTGAGTACACACTAAACACCAGATCATCCTTGAACACAAAACATTTTCTGTCATATCTAAATCACTTAAAAAAGTCTTATATTTACACTAACGGTCAATTACTTGTTGATAAAGAAAACAGAAAACGCGAGGGAAACCGAGCAATAACTCGCGCCGCGTCAAGCCTCGCGCGCTCCCCGCGGCCACCGCTCTCCTCCACCATCACAGAAAACCTGCACCTATTACTTTCCACCTGTAACTATACTATTATTACCATTATTTGTATCATCATCATCATCATCTTTCATTTTACATATCTATCTCTCTCTCTCTCTCTCTCTCTCTCTCTCTCACACTCTCACTCTCACTCTCTCTCACATCACAGAGAGGTTTCCCCATAGGGAAACTACTGACCTTCACGAGAGTAAAGGCCACAAGAGCTGCCTAACCCCACCCTCCCAGGTACCTATTTACTGCTAGGTGAAGAGAGGCATCAGGTGAGAAGTAGGCCATAACAGTTTGTCGTGGTGGGAGAGTGAGTGAACCTGGGGTCCGGCGGTTGTGAGCCGAGAAAGAAGACCACTGTGCCAGGGAAGCCAATAGTACAGGGTTGAGATACCAAGTGAGCCCTAGATGAAGACCCCCGCCTGGCTCCCCCGTCCCGCCTCCCACACCTACACCCACCTACAACCACCTACACCCACTTACACCCACCCAGACCCGCACCTTACACAGCACACAGTGCACAATACATTGATAAGCACACAGTGCACAATACATTGATACAGCCATAAGTCTCCCTTTTTCAGGACATCAAGTGAAGCAGGGTATAACAGGAGGAGGAGGGGGGGGGGGTGGATGGAGGACAGTTGTGGGGGGGAGGGATGGGAGGAAGTGTGGGGGGGGGGATGGGAGGTCAGTGGGGGGATGGGAAGGACAGGTGGGGGGATGGAGGACAGTGAGGGGGGGGATGGGAGGACGTGTGGGGGGGATGGGAGGACATGAGGGGGGGGGATGGGAGGGGTGTGGGGGGGATGGGAGGACAGTGGGGGGGGGGGATGGGAGGACAGTGTGGGGGGGGATGGGAGGACAGTGGGGGGGGGATGGGAGGACAGTGTGGGGGGGGATGGGAGGACAGTGGGGGGGGGGATGGGAGGACAGTGGGGGGGGGGGGATGGGAGGACAGGAGGGTGGGGGGATGGGAGGACAGTATGTGGGGGGGGGATGGGGAGGACAGTGAGGGGAGGGGATGGGAGGTCAGTGTGGGGGGGATGGGAGGACAGTGAGGGGGGGGGGATGGGAGGAAAGTGGGGGGGGGAGGGGAGGACAGTGTGGGGGGTGGGGATGGGGCAGGGGATGGGAGGACAGTTGTGGGGGGGATGGGGAGGACAGTGAGGGGGGATGGGAGGACAGGTGGGGTGGGGATGGGGGGACAGTGGGGGGAGGATGGGAGGACAGTGTGGGGGGGGGATGGGAGGACCAGTGGGGGGGGGATGGGAGGACAGTGTGGGGGGGGGATGGGAGGACAGTGGGGGGGGTGAGGACAGTGTGGGGGGGGATGGTGAGGACAGTGAGGGGGGGGGGGACACACATACAGGAGGTGAGAGGAAGCAGCAGCAGCAGCCAGGTGCGTGACTGGTATTAGCAATAAAAGTTGACTCCTGAGAAGAGGACCTCGGAGGTGGGAAGGGGGAGGGAGGGAGAGGGGGAGAGAGAGAGCACATGATACAGACGTATAAAATACTTAGAGGGATTGACAACGTAGAAACTACGGAAATATTTACAATGACTACCAAAAGAACGGGTGGAAAGGGGGGTAAGGGTGGAAGCTTGAGACTCAGATGTCATAGAGATGTTAGCCAGTTTTCCTTTAGTGTAATGGCAGTGAGTAAATGGAATGACCTAAAGGAGCAGATTGTAGAGGCTAACGTCATTCATAACCTTAAAAAGCAGGTATGATAGGGGGAAGCAGATCAGCAATGATTGCATTAGACAACAAACGGCTATAAAACTGGGGTCAAAGAGCTAGAGCTCGATCCTGTAGGCACAAATACGTGAGTACACACACACGGATTCAGCGAAGAACATGATTATTTAAGCAAGTTAGTGAGTCACGATGATAGACAGAGTGAGTGAGTGAGTGAGTGAGTGAGTGAGTGAGTGAGTGAGTGAGTGAGTGAGTGAGTGAGTGAGTGAGTGAGTGAGTGAGTGAGTGAGTGAGTGAGTGAGCGGGGTAGTGTGGCAGCTCTTAGCTGTCCAAGACTACTAGAGCTGAGAGAGCAACAGTGTCACAACACAAGAACTATACATACTAGAGCAGCAGACTGGTGTTGTAGGGGAGAGTAGTGAGCAAGGTGATGGTGAGAGGAGGATAAGGAAGGCCAACATTCCAGGAGCACCACTTGCTAAGACTCCTCCCCTCTCTAAGACCCGCTCTCTTGACTACATCCAGGTCCCCTCTTCCTGCTGCTCTCGCCTCTGTGCCTCTCACCCCTTCCCCCAGCACGGCTTCTTAGCCCTCTCTCTACTTCCCCTGCCTCTGGCGCCCACTCTGTATGTTATGCTCCTCCCCTCCTCTCAATTAAATCCTGCATCAGGATTACCAGGATTACAATCCTGGTCTCAACACTTGTAATCCACACTTCCTCGTCTCCCTTCACACACACACACACACACATCGATTCCCGCACGAGGCAGAAACAAATGGGCAAAGTTTCTTTCACCCTAAGTGCCCCTGTTACCTAGCAGTAAATAGGTACCTGGGAGTTAGTCAGCTGTCACGGGCTGCTTCCTGGGGTGTGTGTGTGTGTGTGTGGTGTGGGAAAAAAAAATAGTAAGTTAGTAGTTAGTTAGTAAACAGTTGATTGACAGTTGAGAGGCGGGCCGAAAGAGCAAAGCTCAACCCCCGCAAAAACACACAACTAGTAAACACACACACACACTCACACTCTATTCCCCTTCCTCTCCTGCCCCTATAACCTCCCCTCCACCCAAGTCTCCCTCCCGCCGCCTGCCCATACACCGTGGAGGTGCGTGTGAAGAGGACGCCACGCTACGGCCGAAGGGACGAAAGGGGAGGGACAAAGAAGGCCTGAACACAAGGTACCATCTGGGAGGTGAAATCCTGCAAGAGTCAAATAGAGAGAGAGATCTGGGGGTTGATATCACACCGAACCTGTTCCCAGAAGCCCACATCAAAAGGATATCATCAGCGGCATATGCTAGATTGGCCAACATAAGAACTGCCTTTAGAAACTTGTGTAAGGAATCGTTCAGGACCTTGTATACCACTTATGTCAGACCAATCCTGGAGTATGCAGCTCCAGCCTGGAGTCCATACCTAGTTAAACACAAGACAAAGTTAGAGAAGATTCAGAGGTATGCCACCAGACTAGTCCCAGAACTGAGAGGTATGAGCTACGAGGAAAGGCTACGGGAGCTAAACCTCACGTCTCTGGAAGACAGAAGAGTAAGGGGAGACATGATCACCACCTACAAAATTCTCAGGGGAATTGACAGGGTGGACAAAGACAAACTATTTAGCATGAGTGGAACACGAACAAGGGGACACAGGTGGAAACTTGAGTACCCAAATGAGCCACAGAGACATTAGAAAGAATTTTTTCAGTGTCAGAGTAGTTAACAAATGGAATGCATTAGGCAGTGATGTGGTGGAGGCTGACTCCATACACAGTTTCAAATGTAGATATGATAGAGCCCAGTAGGCTCAGGAATCTGTACACCAGTTGATTGACAGTTGAGAGGCGGGACCAAAGAGCCAAAGCTCAACCCCCGCAAGCACAACTAGGTGAGTACACACCATGCCCATGTATTAATGTCTCCATTCACAAAAATCAGATTATTTACCATTGATCAGTGTTAAATGATGACTGAACACCCTAAAGGAACCCCCTAGCCCCACCCACTCTACGGGATAATGATGAATGTGAATTCCTTTGCATTACACTGTTACATTTTCTGAGAGGCTGGTAGAGGGAAGGAGGCAGGAGTTGAGTGAGGGAGAGAAGGGCTTGAGTGAGGGAGAGATGGAGGGAGAGGGGGGTAGGGGGAGAGGGGAGGGGAGGTGAGGGATAACGCGTGTAAGAGTGAGAGCCGAGGTCTACCGGATACCCCATCTAGGATATTATACAAAACTGAAAAGGAAAGATAAAAAGATTACCCTAGACAATGATATTGACCACACACACACACACACCCACACACACACACACACCGAGGAGTCATTATGACCACCTGCCGAGCACTGGTGAAGGTGTAACTGGTGAACAAGACGGCATAAGAGGGAGTATGATCCCTGGTGTGGAGGAGGAGGCTACCGGCGGACGTACAACACAACACCACCGGCTGTGTCATCGCTGCTGGCCAACCTCTCCCCCTCCACTGAAACCTGTGAAAAATGTGGCCCAGCTAATTGTTGATCAACTTGTATCCAGACGGTGATCAGGGGCCTGCGTGAGGGAGGGAGGTATAGGGAGGGAGGTATAGGGAGGGAGGTAGGGAGGGAAGTAGGGGAAGGGAGGGAGGGAGGGAGGAAGGGAATCCGAGGTCAATATGAGGCCGACTGGAACTTGCATGTCCGGCTACAGTATCTTCCTCTTGATTACGGACGCACCGCACCTCTGCTACACACCTCCCTCTCCTGGCTGCCCCTGCTCATCTTTCCCGCTGACCTCCTGCTTCACCTGCTGGCATGGGGTGCAAGAAACAACTGAACTGATAATGGTCGGAAAAATCATTATGAATCATAGTCCTTCTTGATAAGGAGTACTACTCGCATCCTTGCCTTTCTTTCCTTACTCTCTGCTATCCTTCTAGAACGATTGCCTTTGAGATCGTCTCGGTGAGTTTTGTTTCTGCCATTGCAATCACACCAGGCTCCTTTTTCGTTTAATGATGTTGTTTTACTTCATCCACTTTGATATTATCAGCACTGGTATACCAGAGCTTGATGCTCACCTCACATTGTTTACCACATCTCAGTGCACTTATGTGCTTTTGTTTTTTGTGGTGTAGAGCTCAAGTGTGTACGTATGTATACCTAGTCGAGTCTGTATGGGAGAGATCCAGTTCTCCAACCCCACCTCATAGACATTGCACCTGGTGCATTTATACACCCCCCAACGTTAAAATACTCTATTACACTTGCTCTTGAAGGTGTGAATGGTGGTTAGGGCCTCAACCTCTGGTTCAAGCTCCCGGGCCCCGACTTACCACTCTCGCTACATACCAATACTTCCCTTCCAGACGCCCTCTCGTGCTGGTGTCCCACGCGGGAAGACTACCCAACCACTTCCTTTATTACTCTCAGAATATTATGCCTTCTGGTCATCACCGTCTCCCGGTCACTTTTTAATGACGTTAGTGTGAGTGAGGGAAGGAAGGGAAGGAATGAAGGAAGGAAGGGAAGGAAGGAAGGGAATGTGGCTACACATACACCCTGGCACTATACCTGGCTACACATCTGCTGCCTGTCACGCCACCTTTGTCTCGTTCTAGGAATGTTAAATGCTCGGTAATTAATTGGATTTATTAGCATCTGTGTAATCCATGACACAGTTCCCAGTACTGTGCACGGTGGCGCCTTACAGTCACACCACCAGTCACCACCACCACACACCTGTCACCCCCACACACCTGCCAGCACGACCAGCCACTGCACTAGCAACACGTGAGCTTCCGGTCAACCCTCTAACATCCCCAACGTCATGCCCGTCACACACACGTTACCAATTTACTTTGTTCCCCATTAAATCATTCTAATAAATCCTGGTACACTGTGGGTGACGTTGAGACGTCCTGAGACACTGTGGGTGACGTTGAGACGTCCTGGTACACTGTGGGTGACGTTGAGGCGTCCTGGTACACTGTGGGTGACGTTGAGACGTCCTGGTACACTGTGGGTGACGTTGAGACGTCCTGGTACACTGTGGGTGACGTTGAGACGTCCTGGGACACTGTCGGTGACGTTGAGACGTCCTGAGACACTGTGGGTGACGTTGAGACGTCCTGGTACATTGTGGGTGACGTTGAGACGTCCTGAGACACTGTGGGTGACGTTGAGACGTCCTGGTACATTGTGGGTGACGTTGAGACGTCCTGAGACACTGTGGGTGACGTTGAGACGTCCTGGTACACTGTGGGTGACGTTGAGACGTCCTGGTACACTGTGGGTGACGTTGAGACGTCCTGGGACACTGTGGGTGACGTTGAGACGTCCTGGTACACTGTGGGTGACGTTGAGACGTCCTGGTACACTGTGGGTGACGTTGAGACGTCCTGGTACACTGTGGGTGACGTTGAGACGTCCTGGGACACTGTGGGTGACGTTGAGACGTCCTGGGACACTGTGGGTGACGTTGAGACATCCTGGGACACTGTGGGTGACGTTGAGACGTCCTGGGACACTGTGGGTGACGTTGAGACGTCCTGAGACACTGTGGGTGACGTTGAGACGTCCTGGTACACTGTGGGTGACGTTGAGACGTCCTGAGACACTGTGGGTGACGTTGAGACGTCCTGGGACACTGTGGGTGACGTTGAGACGTCCTGGACACTGTGGGTGACGTTGAGACGTCCTGAGACACTGTCGGTGACGTTGAGACGTCCTGGGACACTGTGGGTGACGTTGAGACGTCCTGGTACACTGTGGGTGACGTTGAGACGTCCTGAGACACTGTCGGTGACGTTGAGACGTCCTGGGACACTGTGGGTGACGTTGAGACATCCTGCGGGACAGTGGGTATCGTCGAGGTGTCCCCGGATGAGTCTGTCCTTAGGTTAAAGTGATTACCATGATACACTAAACCCATTCTCACACCAACTGGATCCTTATGTAAATATTTGGCATGGTCTGAGAGCATATTATGGTTCCAATAATGATCACCTTGCAAACTGGCAAGTGAACCTCTGCCCTAAACAGAGAAGATACTCAAGTTATAACTTTATTGCATTATAACGTGTTGGTTTAAAATACAAAAAGTCTAGGCTTATCGCATTTTCTTTGAAACGAGTCTGAAGAATTTGGTATTCCGTGAGCGAAATTAACGGGGATACTCAAATAGTTCTGCAGCATCCTGGAGCAATGTGTGAGTGTATGTTTTTGTATGTGTATGCAGGAGGGAGAGGGAGAGAGGGGAGGGGAAGAGGGAGGGAGAGGGAGAGAGGGGTAGAGGGAGGGAGAGAGGGAGAGTGGGGAAGAGGGTGGGAGAGAGGGGAAGGAGGGGGGGGGCAGGTGGGAGGGAGTGAGGTGACAGGGAGAGACAGAGAGAGCTTAGCAAGATTGCATGTGTCACCATTCTAGGTAGAGAAACATCTGTCTTGCAAATCCTGCCACCGTATTGGTTGGGCGCTGACCGGAAAGATGTTATGTAATATCAGTGGTTCCTTAATGCCAGTGATGGCCGTAATGCGGATGTGTGGTGGATGGTTCCCCTCGGGGGGTGGGGGGGGGGGGGGTGTACAGGGGCCGCCTTCACACCTTCATTCAATGCTATATCGCTCATGAATTGGTGTGTGTACTCACCTAGTTGTACTCTTCTAATTGTGCTTGCGGGAGTTGAGCTCTGACTCTTTAGTCCTGCCTCTCAACCGTCAATCAACTAATCTACAGATTCCTGAGCCAACTGGGCTCTATCATACCTACACTTGAAACTGTGTATGGAGTCAGCCTCCACCACATCACTTCCTAATGCATTCCATTTGTCAACCACTCTGACACTAAAAAAGTTCTTTCTAATATCTCTGTGCCTCATTTGGGCACTCAGTTTCCACCTGTGTCCCATAGTGCGTGTGCCCCTTGTGTTAAATAGCCTGTCTCTATCTACTCTATCTACCCTTGAGAATCTTGAATGTGGTGATCATGTCCCTCCTAACTCTTCTGTCTTCCAGCGAAGTGAGGTTTAATTCCCGTAGTCTCTCCTCGTAGCTCATACCTCTCAGCTCGGGTACTAGACTGGTGGCAAACCTTTGAACCTTTTCCAGTTTAGTCTTATCCTTGACTAGATATGGACTCCATGCTGGAGCTGCATACTCCAGGATTGGTCTGACATATATGGCATACAAAGTTCTGAATGATTCCTTACACAAGTTTCTGAATGCCGTTCTTATGTTGACCAGCCTGGCATATGCCGCTGATGTTATCCTCTTGATATGGGCTGCAGGAGACAGGTCTGGCGTGTTATCAACCCCCAAGTCTTTTTCTCTCTCTGACTCTTGAAGAATTTCATCTCCCAGATGATACCTTGTATCTGGCCTCGTACTTCCTACACCTCTGTGTGTGTGTGTGTGTGTGTGTGGTGTGTGTGTGTGTGTGTGTGTGTGTGTGTGTGTGCGTGCGTGTGTGCGCGCGCGCTCAGCCTGTTCTTAAAAAAAAAAAAAAAAGATAATCCGACAATTCCAATTAAATCCCAAGGCCACAGTGTCTGCATCTGGGGTCCCCACCTCCAGGGGTCCACAAATCACCTACGGGGTCTCACCAGAGGGGTCCTTGAACCCCTTCGCTACCACAGGACACACGAACCACTCTCTGGCATGGGCGTAAAACATGGGTTTTCAGGGAAACCATCACAAGTGCGAATATTGGCAAGGAGGGGGTGGGAGGGGAGGGGGAGGAAGAGTGCCATCAAGTCCTGTTTATGACCAAACCTGTCTTTTATTGCCTCTTCAATATGGCACACACACACACACACACACACACACACACACACACACACACCACACACACACACACACACACACACACACACACACACACACACACACACTGGAATTCGTGTCCGGGTATTTGCCTTAATGATCGAACTTAAAACAGTGTCCGTAAGACCAGGAGTCAGGGAAGGTAGAGCTGCCTATAAGAAAGCGGCACAGTAGGAAAGTGAGAGTGTGTGTGGGGGGGGACGTGTGCGTTGGGAGGAGGAACCGAGAGGGAAGACGGTCCAGGGAATGATGGACCAAGTCAAACTGAGGTGGCAGAGGGGCAGGAGACACATTCGTATTACCATGAAGAGAAACATGTAGGAGAGAATATTATAGCCTCTGGCTCAATAGACAGTGTCACGAAGCAAGGTGAGGGGAGGGAGAGGGGAAGGGGGGCCAAGGTGAGGGGTGGGAGAGGGGAAGGGGGGGGGCCAAGGTGAGGGGGAGGGAGAGGGGAAGGGTGGGGGGCCAAGAAGTATGACAAAAATGAAAAGTAATAGCAGAAGGGTTGACAAGACCTGAAAGTTAGATGGAGGGGAAGGTGAGGGAGATGAAGATGAGGTAATGGAAGGAGGGGGGGGGGAGAGGGGAGAGCAAATCTTGAGGAGAGTCGGGGGGGAGAGGGGGAAAGAGAGATTGATGTGTTGGGTGCTTGGTCATGTTGGGGGGGGGGGGAGATCGGAGGAGGAGCCCCCGCCTACACCCTCTAACCCACCTACAACACCACTACCACCATTCACCACCTCTCATCCTTCTAGCATCAGTGTGTACACCTGCTGTGTGTGTGTGTGTATAAATTACCACACACACACAAAGTTTACCGGGGTACATACATGCCCCGCTCTCCCCCCCCCCACACACACACCTGGAGGTGGAGTAAGATTAAAAATGATGATAATGACTGGGAAGACACACCAGTGATGGGTACTGGGGAAGGGGTGATGATAGGGGGGTGATGGGGGGGCAGGAGGTGGTGATGGGGAGGGCAGGGGTGATGATAGGGGAGAGGGGGGTGTAGGGGTGTGCAGTTCCTGCAAGAATTGAGAGTTCGTCAGGGGTTTTCCTCACCCCCCCCCAACCCCTCCACCCGAGTCGTCGAACTGAACACATACCCGCGTGTATGTCCTAACCTTTACGTGCTTGTAGGACGAGCATCAGCTCCTGGGCTCTTCCTTTCTGCCACCGCTGGTCACTTGTTACAATGGTTGATCATATTATTATACTTCACCTTGAAATTACCTTGTCCCTCTACCTCATACCAATTACCCATTACTCTTACACTGAAGAATTGCCTCATTACAGCCCTATGGTTCATCTGAGTGTCTAGATTGCAGCCATCGCCTCTCGTGGCTCGTATAGGTCACATAGTTTTGTGCCTATCAATAGCTGCAAGGATCTCGCATGTTGTAATCATGTCTCCTCTTGTTCTCGTTTTACAGTTTTATAAATAAAGCTCCCTCAGCCTCCTCTCATGGCTCACTCAGTTAACTTGTGGTCTTTCTCTAATTGTGGTTGGAAATGTATTAGGAAAGGATCCAATGCTGAGGCAGGATATTCTACTACAAAAGCGAAAAACAAGAGGAGACATGATCACAACATTCGAGATTCTTGTAGGCCTACTAATGACACACTAGCCCTCACTTGCTTTATGTGACTCGTGTTAATTCGGTAACAGGTAGACGTCTCTCTCCACATGTTGATATTTTTGGTAGGTTTTACTTCTCTGACTCAACATGCGACCCAGCCTCTCTACTAACATGTCTCATTTTGAAAGTTATTACCCCAAACGTGCAAACTGCAAAGTGTGTGTATCATAGAGAGAAATATTTATAGTAGATGTGATAGAGGGAAAAAATAGGTTGGGAGTCAGTGCAGTGCAGACAAGGCTGGGTCAAAGAGCTAACAGCTCGATCCTGCAGGCACAAATAGTAAACAAACAAACACACAAACAAAACACACACACACACACACATACACAATACATATACACACACACACATACATATACACACACACACACACACAATACATACACACCACACCACACACACACACACACACACACACACACACACACACACACACACACACACACACACATACACAATACATATACACACACACACACACACACACACACACACCACACACACACACACACACACACACACACACACCACACACACACACACAATACATACACACACACACACACACACCACACACACCACACACACACACAATACAATACACACACACACACACACACACACACACACACACACACACACACACAAAACAAACACACACACACACACACACACACACACACACACACACACACACACACACACACACACACACACCCAAGGATTCCAGTTGCACCAGACAGAGCAACCTGTCTGGTTGACCAAGTTCCAAACCCAGTTAAAACAAGTGACAATTACCGCAAGAACACAAAGCACAACTGTCCATAACAATGCCAGCATAGTGGAGCGTGACGACCTCCCGCTCGATACATTTGCTTAACTCCTGGTGCAGGGACAACTTCCTCTCACGCAGCTTGCTCTTACACGCTCTACGCTAATCAATAATGCAAGTCTTAATATCCGTCATCAAATAAGGGACGAAGCAACATGACGGACTCTCGCAGACTTCATTACCAAGTGGGTCAAGCCAACTGGACAATGTGTGTAATTTGGCGGAAGGACAGTACTTTATCTGCCATGCAAACAAGTCTTCATGTCAGAGGTAATGTATGCGATACATATCTTCTCCTGTTTGGGTTTCTGCTTCCTCTCCCTTCTCCCCCACCTCCCTCCCTTCCTCCCTCCTCTCTCTCTCTCTCCCACAACATAATCCCAGTGTGTAGCTAAGTCCAGCAGAACAGGAGAATGAAAGGTAATCCAGTAATTACATGTGATGCTGTCCATCATATGAAGTCCTAAGATTGTATTCCACCATCCACCACAACAACTGGCATATATACCCCCATCCCCACTAAAACCACCTTCACACACATGCTACAAC